TCAGTTATGGAGTAAATGATGTCTATTTCTGGTGTTATTTATCCTCATAACACAGTAAAATTTTTTTGTAATGAAACATATAGTTGGGCCATGGGTCATCTCTGTCTTTGAAGTGTACTGTTTGCTCCTTCTGGCCAGCGTGCAAATCTTGCTTTTTACTCTGAGGTATTTTCACAATCTAGAATTTATCCCTGTACAGGACACATGGCTTACATTGTGTACTGTATTAACATCTGCGAGAAGCATGCATTTTAGAACATTCTACAAAGTTCTGAAATCTTAGGCTGAGAGACCTTAGAAAACTTACAGCCTAACCCTGGTGTTTCAGTTGATGGAATTGAAGTCAGAGACATTATTGACCAAATTGTCATAGCAGAGTTGTGACTAGAACCCGGGCATCCTCTACCAGACTGATGCTTAAGTGGTTTACTCCATCATTTTATCAAATACGTTATGTGGCTTGTTACTTAAAATTTAATATGCTCATGCTCTCTGACCTCAGTGGACCTTTTATTGATTTCTTGTGAGTGAGTGAAATCTTCTCTGTTCTCGTTGTGCCCAAGCAAACCCTGTTCCTATAATTCCTAGTGGATGCCTGGTCAACAACAGCTAGATTGACAGGTCCTCAGTTTGTTTCCACTCTTCTTCACAGTCCACAGATTGTTAATCTTGACAGTTGAAGACTAAATAAAATTCTTTTTTCATTAATATGAATTCATCTGTATATCTATTCAGTAAAAATTTATTGAACAGGCGGTGAGGGTTCACTGGTAAGTGAAAATAGACATGGTTTCTAATCTCACAGAGCTTCTAGTCTATAAAAGAGATATACATTAATCAACTAATTAACTAATGAGAGACTAATTCTAGGAACTAAAGGGAGGAACACATTTCTACGATAGTCTGAATAAAGGAGTCTGACTTGAGCTGTAGTCAGAGAGAACTTCTCTAAGGAAATGACATTTGAACTGAGACTGGAATTAACAGCGGTCAGGGCTGGGTGTTGGAAGCATTCTCGACAGAAAAAGAGCAGTTTACTCTTGTGGTAGAAGAGAGCATGAGCAGTCAGGAACAAATTAGGCCACTGCACAGAAAGTGGAGGACTGCATGAGGCTTGAGAGATAGGAGAGGCTGGCTGAGTCATGAGTACCTTACAGGTCACCTTAACATTTTAGACATGCTAAGTAAGACAAAGAGGCAGCCTATGAGATTGTCGGTCTGCCTTTCAGTTTTGTCTCTGATGGTGATGATATGGTATGCTTATGCTTAGAATTGTTTTTCACTGCTTTAAAGCATATTGAAATGCTTTAGAGAAGAAAGAAATATATCCTCTAGAGCTTGTATGACACTGTCCCACTCTTGGTTGGTAGGTTACAAGTGATAGATTTGGGCTTCTCACTGTCACAGAATTATTACAGTCGCTGGGCCATTGCCCTGAATGGGAAAAGAGATATTGAAGCTGTATGGACTTACTTCTTTGGCTGTGCTGATATATTTCCTAAGCTAGAGACAATGCTCAGTGGTTTAGAGCTTATTGTTTTTAAATGTTAAAGTAAAATGTTTACTTTGTGAATTAAAGAACATAGAGATGAAACATCGTAGTCCTGTCCTTAAGGAGAATTGATGATATTCTTTCTCTTAGGTCCTATTCCTTTCCAAGTAGAACAAAATCTAAGGAAAGGTGTGTGATTGAAAAAAAGTAACATTTAAAAAAATAAATTTATTTATTTAAATTAGTTTCAAATATACAGTACATTGGAGTTGGCAGTATAACTCAGCCAGGCTTTTGATAGAATGGTAATTTTTCACTTGAAATTTATTTTTTACTTTAAAAATTCCATTTATGCTCAGAGGCTCAGTATATACACTTATTACACTATTTAAAATTTATACTTTGTCTTATGTTTATGCTATTTTTAAAGAGAAATTTCAGGAACCATGGGAAGAGACAGACTCAGGTGTCCAGGGGCTTAGAGTTCATGATGGCGCATGAGAGGCCATGCATTGGAACGGATCCTCCAGAACAGACACCTCTTGAAAAGTTTTTACCTAGGGAGAAAGGTAGACTAAAAAATATCTATCCAGAGAAAGGACCAAGACTAGTTTGTTCTGACTATAGTTGGGAAGAAAAGGTCTCTCATGAGAAACTAAACGAAATCCTGTATCTCAAATAGTTTTAGAGTCCAAACCTATACTATTTGCATTGTGGATCAGTTCAAGTCCAGAAATTAACATGAAAATCAGACTCTATATCGATCTGTCTGTCTGTCTCCCTCCCTCCCTTTTTGGGGTACCTGGAAAAAGCAAACAAATCCATACAGAGGGATCACTTTTACCAGTCAGGACATAAGGATTCCCACAATGGAGTTAAAAAAAAAAAGTCTGATAACTATGAGTTAATGTAAATCAATCAATCCATAACACCAAGGAATATTCCACTACAGAGAAAAGTCCTCATCACTACAAATGATGAAAGTGAGACAATGCAGCAATCTGGAAGATATTATACAATAATATGTTTTAAATGAGTATGGTATAAAAGAAGGATTTGAAATCATAAGGAAGGAATTAAGTACTTTGAAAAAAAAAGGGGAATATTTGAGAAAGAACCATATGAAATTTCAATAAGTAAAAGAATAATCATTGAAATTCAGATTACTCTGGCCAGATTAAGTAGCAAACTTGACTCAGCTTGAAGAGAGAGTTAGCGAGAACTGAGAAAATTGTGACTGAGAAAATTACCCATGATCCAACACAGAGCTATAAAAAGATGGAAAATTAGAGATTTAAGAAACCCAGAGGCTTTACTGAAATGGGCTAACACAATTCTGATAAGAATTCTAGGAGGAGAGAATGGAGGAAAAGCGATGCTGAAAATTTTCCAGAATTAGGGAAAAATTTGAAACTTCAGGAAGTACAGAGAGTTTTAAACAGCTAAATAGAAACAAATTATTACATAAATACATTATATTTAAGTAGTATATCACTAAAGCCAAAAAGTAGAATTTCAAAGGCAACCAAAGAAAAAAGAACAATTATGTTGATAACAGAGTTCTTAACACCGAAAGCCAGGAGACAATGTAATAGCATTTTCATGGGGCTGGGACAAAAATTAATGTCAACAACCTACAAAAATTAATGTCAACAACCTACACTTCATATTCAACTAAACTATCAGTTTTTTTTCCTGATAATCCTGATAAGACCATGTTTTAATTGCCTATGACAGATATATTACATAATGACTCAAAATTAATAGTCTAGCAAAGATTAAAGGAAAACAGATGAAAATGAGTTTTTTGCTTCAGGCAAGAAAATCAGGGTTAGAATTATTTTAAATTGTATCTTCAAAACTAGTACCCTTCACCATCTGTCTTTTATTCATTTTGCTGTGATACAACTAAAAAGGCCCGTAAACTGTCAGTTTAGAGTGAGGCAAAATACTTACATTTTCGAAGATTGAATTTACCTTTCTTAAACCTTATGCAAAAATATGTTACAGGAAAACTTACATATGAAGGGAAAAAATTTAGAACCTTCGCAAGAAAATATAAGGACTATTTCTGTGATCTCAGGGCATGGAAGACTATCTTAAACAGGCTTTAAGAGCAGAATCCAAAACAGGAAAAGATTGATGAATTTGGTAAACTTGACTGCATTAAAACATTAAACTTTTGTTCAACAAAAGCCACCCCATACAAAGATACAAAGTTTAAAGACTATCTCTACTGGAAGATAATAATTGCAATGCATAAAACTGTTAGAAGATTAGTATCCAGAATGTGAAAACAGCCAAAATGGCATCTCAATTAAAAGTCTATGAAGAGAAGGTAAGACTCACATGACCAATAAGGATATGAAGAATAGCTTTGTCTTGTTAGCAGTTAGGGAAATAGCATTAAAAAATAATGTTATCAATTTCACACCCATTATATTGGCAGAAATTAAAATCTGTTAGCGCCAAATGTTGGAGACGATTAGGGAAAATACAAATTCTTTTGCCATGCTGGTGGGTATAAAAATTGTAATTCAGTTTGGAGAAAAAATTGATAACTATTGAGAATCAAAGGGAGCATATTCTGTCACTAGTAATTACAGTTCAAGGAAAATAGCCTAAAGAAACTCACACATTTTTGCAAAAAGACCCACACAAAGGTATTTATCACGGCAACATCTATAATGGGAAAAATTGGAAAAATGTTATTCATAGTAGCTGTCGTCTTCATCCAGAAAGCAGAATAGTACACAAAGCTAAAATGACTGTACTTTCTATATCTGTCAACCCGGGTAAACCTCAGAACATACAACTGAGTGGGAGAAAGGCATCTTATAAAACAATATATGCATGATTCCAATTTTATAAGAATTAAAAATACGTGAATACTGTATAAATACTAATATGTGTATTAAAAGTATAAAACTTGTATGTGTGGATTTTAGTGATTAGTTCTGTGGGAAAAAAGATGATAAAGGGATAAGGGTTGGGCTTGAAATTATATTTCTAATATGGAAAATGATATCACATACGTTTGTTTTGTGGGTAATGAGTATCTGTCATAATTTATTCTTTTAAGTATATTTGAAATAGCTTATACTTTTAAATAAGCCTACAAAATCAAAATAAAATATAGCCAAGGGTGATGAGCAAAGGATGACTGGTTACGAAAGAATCTTTCATGAGCCAATCAGGACCTTCAGTCTGTGTTCCAACCTCTCTGGCATGAGCAAAGGAATGTTACTTTTTAAATTTGAAATGTTCGTTTGAGCGATTCTGTTGGATATTCTGCCAGCATAGGAACATGGCTTTTGGGGTTAGTAAACAAATGGCGTTTTGGGGTGATTTCAGGTTTTTCAGAATGCCCTCTCTGACCACTAAAGGCAGATTACAAATGGCACGTTGCAAAGGTTGCTAGTTCTTAGTCACTTGTCCATCAGGTAAGAGAGACCAAGGGCTATGAATTCTTAGTAGAAGATTAGTAATAAGTAAAGTTTACCTAGAATCTAGACCTTTAGCTCTTGTTCCTCATGTGGAGTTTGAGGATATTGTAAGTAACAGGAACCATCAGGTGGAAAAGAGGCAGGCGTCCACCTCATATCCTGTGGCTCATGGCAAAGAGGCCCCCATTGGCTGCGAAGCTTGTATTGCGGCACCTATCCTTTCCTCTCATAGCCTTCCCGGGCCTTTTCCCTTTATGCTGCCCTCCATATAGATTTAACCACAATGAATTGTTGAACTGGAGGAAATTTGCAAAATCATTTCAGTCATTTGTCTTCTTTTTAGAGAAATGACTTGTACTTAGTGCCAGCCAAGTATTTCAAAACCAGTAAAAGCCAGCCGAAAATTTTTAATCACTTAGTATCAGTGAAGCTCCAGACAGAACCTATCTTATTTAAATAAACTTTTAATTTTAGAATAGTTTCACACTGACAGAAAAGTTGCAGAGGTAGTACAGAAAGTTCCCATGTATCCCTTACCCAGTTTCCCAAACTGTTAACATCTTACATTACTATCTAGGTAGTATTTTTAAGACAACAAATGTAACCGTGTTTGGGGTATGGGCACATTTTATTCATAGACTTGATACCTCAAAGATTTTACTGACATGAAAGTATATAGCAGAATTAAATGGCATTTCATTTGTAAAATAACCTGGAAATAAAAACTAATATCTTAGCAAAATTATGGAAATCTTTTAAAATTACCGACATGGTGCCTGGTACATGTAAATGCTCAACCAATATTTGTTGAAAGAATGAATAAATGAATGCAGATGCTGTCTCTATCCTACTGAGAACCTCAAGTTCTTACAGTTTTCAGAAAAGATCAAATTTTTCCATATATAATCTGTTCTGCCTTACATAGGTTAAAATTCTTACTACAAACTGGTTAAGGCATAAATCATTCTTAATATCATGAAATCTTGTTGTTTCCTCCATTTATCCACTTATTATTTTAAACTATTAATAGGTAACATTGAATGTTTATTATTTTCCCTGCTCTCGGCATCATGGTGAATACGAAGTATAAACTTTGAAACTTCTGTTTTCATATCTTTTCTTTCTTTGATTATGTAAATTATGCCTCTGTATATAATTGAACATTGCTAGATCCTATACTGTCTTGTCAAAAAAGTTTAACTTTTCTTGGAATATCAATATTGACATTAAATGTTACATGGAAAAATTATCCTTGGTCATGTTCAAATATACTTTTTTTAAAAAAGTTTTTAATATGAATAAATAGACACTGCAGTGCTTTCAGCAAGAAAAATAATTATTTGAAAGGCAGACTATTCAGCAATTAATCTTTTTATGTTTTCAGAATTCAGCTGTGGAAATGGTTTTGTCAAAACAACTTTCTCTCAATGTTCAAGAAAGCATGAAAAACACTGAAGATGAGCAGAAAGTCAATGAGCTGCAAAATCAACCTTTAGAATTAGATGTTACGTTAAGAAATGAACAATTAAAAGAGATAGAGGTATGGAAACAAGAAAAACACTGGCAACATGATTGCATCATTTATCCAGAGCGATACAATATCTTTTAATTACCAGAAACTTGCTTGCACAGAGTGAAAAGTCTTATTTAACCTTTGCCTGATGATCAATTTGGTAACTATATAATTATGTACTCATCAGTAAGTTGTATAACTCTTTCCATTTAAAAAGTGGAGGAGTTTAATGACCATTAGTGTTCCTTCTTTTTCACAAAGTTCCTAAAAACTTACTTATTCAGTAACAAAATTTAGAGATTCTGACTTGTCATCATGCCTTTTCTTAGTCATATATATTCATCTGATTTTGACAGATTCCTTTTATTTTTTCTGATTATCAACATTATGTTTTTATACCTGTGTTTAGATAGCTGTGTTTATGTATTTATATACATATAGCTATGTATAGTAATCTAAAAGTACAATACTTGGTCACATTTTTAAAAACGACCCCTACAATTTTAACTAGGTTTACATACAGTAAACATGTATCTAAAACATGAAATAGGAGGTGTATATAAATAATAAAAAGAAAAGAAATCTTCCTTTTGACGTTATAGAAACTTTTGGCACAATAGGGTAATCTAATTGCTATTAAATGCTAGACCAATGGTGAGTTTTAGTCTAGATTTTAACATAATTCTAGTGAAAAAAATCTTTTAAATGTCAGGCCTTAAGTTTCTCTATGTGCAAATGAAATATTTAAAACATCATCTTGGGATAGAGTTCGAAAATGAATGAATTAATTAATAAGTGAATGAGTGAATATACACTTACTGATTTCCTTGACTTGTTTTTAGGAATTATATAGCCAATTGGAAGCAAAGAAGGCAGCCATTGAACCAGTAGAACAAACTGAATATTTCAACAAAACAGAAACAAGTGCCTTGGCTCTCCACAGTACAAGGAATTCAGTGCAGCACTTGGACAATCTGCTTCAGGCACTTATTACTTTGAAGAAAAATAAAGAAAGCCAATATTGTCTCCTTAAAGATTTTCAGGAACACTTTGCTGCAGTTGAATCCTCGATGAAAGCCTTGTTGACAGAAAAAGAGAGTCTAAAAGTGTAAGTGTAAAAATTTAAGACTTGCATTCATTTTATTCAAGCACAAATTCCCCTATCTTGGACAGGCCTAGGGTTTTAAGAGTTTATACTATAAAGGATATTATGATTTTAATACTACAGTGTGGAAATTAATTCCATATGGAAGCCATTAAAGAAAACTTAGTTTCAGGCAAGAAAATTATATTACTGATACTAATTTTATAATTAAATTATACAAATCTAAAAAATTAATTTGTTAAACAGTTAATTCATACTCTAAATATCTGCAAAATAGATTTAAGTTCTGTGGAAATCAGTATTCTTTTCATCAAGAATTTATTCTAAACTATGGGGATGGAGAAAAACATATACAATTGTTTAATATCAGCATAATTAGTTTAAATATTTCGGAACATTTAATATATATTATATATATTGTAATGGTTCCTATTAAAATAGATGTACTCTTTCTGGCTTTGAAAACAATGGTAAATTGTTATAGTCTTAACATGTAAACATTTTCTCATTATTTATATTTATGTTTATATTTATGTTTAAATGAGGTTTACTTTCAGTAATACTCTATGAGGAAACATTTTTGTATTCAAAAGATTAGCCTGATGATTATACCTTCTTAGTATATCATTATTATTGGAAAGAAGATAACAAAGGGGCTGACTGTTGTAGTGATTTCTCTTAGCCCTAGACTAACCTTTGTGCAAGTATTTCACAGGTTACAGAGTACTTTTATATATATTGTTCCTTTCATTCTTCACTCTTTTTCTGTGGTTCTGAATTTTTATGATACTCATATATTATAGGTGAGTTCTCTACAGTGTCCCAAACTAATTGAAAACCATAGAAAACAAGATTCTGATTTTATTTTAAAGACATAGTGCTCTTATAGACAACCTAATCTTCTCTTCTGTGAATTCAAAGCAGAATTAATTTCTTTTAATGTTATCTATCTAAATATTAACAAGCTCCATTTTTCTTCTTTTTCCAGGGGACCACTGGACAATGCAACCTATCTGGCCAAAATTCAGAAATTGCTGGCATCAATAGAAAAAGCAAAAGATTCTTTAAGCAAGATGAAAATTGAATGGGAAAATTTATCAAACTGTCTGACTGACATGGATAAGAAGTTGTTAGAAAGCCAGATCAGGCAACTTGAACATGGGTGGGAACAAGTGGAACAACTGGTTCAAAAGAAGTATTCTCAGCAAGTGGTGGAACATGAGGAATTTACATTTCTCATGAGTAAAATCCAAGACCTTGACATTTCTCTGCAGCAGCAGCAGCAGTGTCTCCGGTTAAGGCTGAGCTCGCCAGAACAGGAAGGGACACAAAGTATGGTTGCTTTGGTCACTGAACTCCAGACTCTCAAGCACAGGTTGTCTGTTTTAAAGGGGCAAGCTGAACTCCAGATGAAGAGGATTTGGGGAGAAAAAGAAAAGAAGATTTTGGAAGATGCAATAAATAATTTGCAGAAGCAATTGGAAGCATTGGAGCCATTAAACAGAGAGCTGGAAAATCAGATCAAGAAGTGTGAAGTGAGAAACAAGGTGAAAGAGACAATCTTATGGGTCAAGAACCTTTTAGGTGAACTCGTTCCTACCATTTCCCTTCTCCCAGATGACATTCTTTCTCAGATCAGAAAATGCAAAGTGATGCACGATGGCATCCTGGGTAAGCAGCAGGCTGTGGAGTCACTGGTTGAAGAGGTCAAAAATAACATTACTAACCTTACAGCACATGAGAGTGATGATTTAAATAACCTCCTACAGGACTTACAAAGTCAATGCCAAATGCTAGTTTTAAAATCGACTCAAAGGTCCCAGCTGTTAGAATTTAAATTGGAAGAAAGAAGCAGACTTGTTGCAGCAATTGAGAAGGTTCAGCTTTCTCTCCAAGGAAGTGAAACATTGACGATTCCCAAAATGGGAACACCCTCCACAGAAGCTGAACTAGAACATCAGCGTGTCACTTTGATGACTTCTCAGAAGGAACTGCAAGAAATTGAGAGCATAATCTCAGCACATCTTCAGGAACTAACAAACATTTGTAAGGATCTAAATGTGTTTGAAAGATTATTTCTGGATGATCAATTGAAAAACCTTAAGACGAGAGCCAACAGAACACAAAGATTCATTCAGAATAAATGTAATGAAGTAGAACACAAGATAAATTTTTCCAGAAAAGTCCATGAACAAACATCTGTGCTTCAGAAGGAACTTGATAACATACAGCACAATGAACTGCTGCTAAAGCAAGAAGTAAATCAGGATGTTAAAGAAGAGTTCTGTAGTCTTAAAGACCGACTCACTGGTATTCAATCTAGTATCTTACAGATAATGAAACTTAAAGAAGTATTTGACGATATAGGACTGAATTGGGATTGTTCCCAGCTTGACCAGTTACGGTCCCAAGCAATTGAAAAAGAAAAGGAACTCGAAGAAAAAATTAAGAAGTTGGACACATTTATGATAGAATATGGCAAATATCAAGCATCACTAAGTAAACTGAGGGCAATGGATTTGCAAATTAAGAAAAGGGCTGAAGGAGTACTAACAGCCTCTAATACTTCACCAGAAAGCCGTCTACTCAGTGCTCAAATTTTGAATCAGAGAATCGAGAAAGCCATGTGCTTATATCATGAAATAGTAAAGAAATTAAGTGAAAATAAGGCCTTTGGTGACTTGTTCAAAGAGAAAGAAATACTACAAATAAAGCCATATGCAGAAGAAAATGATGAGTTACACAAAGCTCTCCAAAACATAGCACTAGAATCCCAACCAAAAGAAATAGATGAAAAGAATTTTCAGGACAAACTAGAAAATTCCTTACATGTTTTGAACCAGATAAAATCTCAGTTACAACAGCCTTTACTTATAAATTTGAAAATCGAACATATTCAACGTGAAATGGATAATTGCGAAGCATTTCAAGAACAAGTTCAGGCGGAAATGTATAGCATTAAAGCTGTAACTGTTACTGAGAAGCAAAGAGCAGAAAACTCTTCTGAAGCTAGTGATGTGGAGACAAAATTGCGTGACATTGAACATCTTTATATGCAGCTTAATACAAGCATCGACTTGCGCACAGTAAGTTTTTAAATTGGGTGGTTAACATCTATTTTTATTTCAAAGATTTTATGTTTTATTTCAGTTAATATTGGCACTTCTCAAGAAGTTACAGGTTCTGCAGGAAAATTCTCTTCAGAATAGTCAATTAAAAAATTGCAAAGTGTCAGTTCATAATCCCAACTCATTCTACATCTAAAATGGTGCTAAACCTACATAAACGAAAGACATAGTTTGGGAAAAGATGAGTTTTATTCCTTGTTTTTATATCCCTTGTAGCCTCGGTTGAGCTTAGAGCAAAGTTGTTTTTGTTTTTTAAAACTAGTAGGGCACAATGGAAGAAATATGGTGTAGAGAAAAGGACACTGAGTAATAACTAACATTCGCTTAGAACTTACAATGTCTAGGCACTGTGCTGAACACCTCACCTTTAATCATCTCAGCAACAGTGAGGTGAGTGCTATTATAGTCCCATTTTAAAATAAGGAAATTGAAGTTCAGAAACATCAACAGTTTTCTCAGGGTCTTGTAACAGTAACAGAACTAGGATTCAAGTTAAGATCTGTCTGATTTTAAAGCAGAGGTCATCAAATTAAGGCCCGTGGGCCAAGTCTGCCCATAGTGCCTGATTTTGTAAATAAAGTTTTATTGGAATACAACCCTGCCCTATTCTTTTACAGATTGTATATGGCTGCTTTCGTGCTACAATAAAAGGACTGAGTAGTTGTGATAGTCTAGATGGCCTGCAAAGCCTAAAATATTTAGTCTGACCCTTTATAGGAAAAATTTGCTGACCTCTGTTGCAGAGTGACTCCAACCTACTTCTTCCTTTCCTGCAATTATAGGGTAGATATCATAGGCAACATTGGAAAACACTGTGTTTAATATAATGCCTTTCACTGTGTTTTCAGAATTGTCACATTAAATTTATAGGATGGGGAAATTAACTCCCTTTAATTCAAGGCTTATTAGATAATATGTTTGCAATATTTTGATAGGTATAAATGCTGCAGAAATGTGATGTCCATTCTAGGAACCCTAATATGTTCTTTAAATTGACACTTAACAAATGTTGAGTAAATTGAATACTTCTCTACTTCATTTTTTTATTGAGGTATAATTGACACATAACATTAGTTTCATGTGTACAACATAATGATTCTATATTTGTATATATTGCAAAATGATCACAACAACAAATCTAGTTAACATCTGTCACCATACAGTTACAGAATTTTTTCCCCTATGATTAGAACTTTTAAGATCTAGTCTCTTAGCAACTTTCAAATATGAAGTACAATGTTATTAACTATACTTGCCATGTCATACATTACATCACCATGACTTTTTATTTTATAACTGTAAGTCTGTAGCTTTTGACCCCCTTTTCTCATTTTGCCCACTCCCACCCCTACCTCTGGCTACCGGCAGTCTGTTCTCTGTATCTTTCTTTATTTGATTTTAATAGTTTCCAGAAGCAATGTACATAAATCTCGAAAATAATATGATTAGAATGGACTGCAAAGGACCTTTAAAGTTATTTTTTTCAAATGTTTTTCATTTCATTGAGAAGACTAAGGTCTGGAGGCATTAAGTGATGTGCTCAAAACAAAATTAGTAGCAGAGCCATTAAATTAAAAACAGAAGGGGTTCTGGGTGGTTTTGTTTGTTTCCTTTTCATCTTTTTCCACAAATATTGATTAAGGCTGTATACATTAAATATATTTTACTTAATTCGTAGTCTAATACAAGAGTTCTAGAGCAGAAACATATCATCAGACATGATTCATGAAATGTATTTTTGAATATAGATTAGATTTTCTAGCAAATCCGGAAACAGTTTTTCTTTATGCAAACAAAAACTTATTCATTTTAAAACACTAGTCAAACTAAAAGCATGAGATGCTGATTTTCATAAGACTCAGAGGCATGTTATCAATGCACCACAAAAATTCAAGAATGATAAAAATCTCAGAAGATTGACAATTTCGTCACAGCTTTTAATCTCCTGTTCACCAGAATGTCTTGAATGATGCTTATGAAAATATGACACACTACAATGAGGCCGTCACCAGGGCGATGGGGATCATCACTGCCCTTGAAGCCATCGTTGCATACCATAGGGTAGACCTGGATAATCCAGAAGAATCACTGGAGATGCCTCGCTGGAAACGAGAGGAATTGGAATCCTCAATAGCAGACATCCAGGACCTCACCGAGAAATTGGAGAGCATAGCCAGCCCTGAGGCCAAACTGCAGCTTCAGTATACTTTACAAGAGATAATTTCTAAGAACTCAGCCCTGATGGAGGCAGCCACAGTAAAGGAAGCTGAAATGCAAAGGTAGGTACTTCTTTCCTAATGCTTTAAGAACATAAAATATAGATTTATGCATAATTAGAAATAATACTTATTTTTTCTTATTAGAAATACATTAGAAATATTTATTACACATTAGATATAATATTTTTTCTTATTATTGAGTACATACAGCAGAATTTTTGGTTTCCGTTTTTTTTTTTTTCCTCTACTCTGGAATGTGAAGCTCTTTTTAATTATAGTTGACAAACAATGCTATATTAGTTTCAGGTGTACAACATAGTGATTTGACATTCATACAACTTAGGAACTGATCACCACAAGTCTGGTAGCCATCTGTCACCATACAAAGTTATTGTGATATTATTGGTCATATTCCCTGTGCTACACATTACATCCCTGCGACTTATGTATAACTCTAAGTTTGTACCTCTTAATCCCCTTCAAGCAGAATGTTAACAAAAATCTGCATATATTATAAAGAATAGTGCTCAGCAGCTTTGTACCCAAAGATTCAAAGATAAACATTATGAGATTTGAATTCCATTATGTGCTCATTCTTTCTTCTCTTAGAAGTAATCATTATTCTAAATACTTTATGTGGTTTAAAATATATTTTTACCATATGTTTGTGTCCCATTTTCAAGTATATGTATTTTCTGTTACTTCATCTATTTCAAACTCATCATTATCTTGAAATTTATTTATGTTCCTATCTATAATAAAATTCTGTCACCCAGCTATTGATAGACATTTGGGTTATTACATAGTTTTTGCATTCACAGTTCTGCTAAGAACATTTTTAAAGCAAGAGATTCCCTTGGGTGTATACCTAGGATTATGGTTGCCAGGTCAAAAAATATGCATATCTTAATTTTTAAATTTCAAAAAATTTTAGCCATTTCTACTCAGACTAGAAGCATAGTAGTGTTCCAATTGTCCCATATCCTTGCCAAAACTTGATGTTGTGAGATTTAATTTTTGCCAGTCTTATGAATGAGAAGTAATATTTCATTATGGTTTTAATTTGCATTTCTATTACTGCTAATGAATTTGAGGCTCTTTTAAAAATATTTCTTCTTTCACATTTGAATTCATATTTCCTCTTCTGAGTTCATTCAATTTCCTCTTCTGAAAAATACTTGTTCAAGCCTTTCCACAGTTTTTATTGGGTTGTTCATCTTTTTCTTCTTGAATTGTAGGAATTTATTTTATATTTTGGAGGTTGATCTTTTGTGGCTATATGTGTAACACATATCTTTACAAAGAGGTCTCCTACTAAACATCTGTCCTGGGTGACTGTCCCCAGCATTCCAGGAGAAGTTCACATCAATAAGATTAGAACTCGAGATGTCCTCAAAATGAAAAACGGCTCCAGAGCTTATTTTATTTCAGTGTATTAGTTTGGGGCCTCTGAATATTCCTTAAGTTTTTGCCAGCTTATTACTGTGTTTTAAGAGTTAAGAGAAATACTTGATACTGAATTTTTAATTGATTTTAGTGGGGGATTTAGGCTGTATCTGTTTTAAATACATAAGTTTATTCATACTATTTTTAAATATATCACAACATTATGCTATATAAAAATATGCTGCCTCTTATTTATAAAATGAACTCTTTTCCTTATTGTAACAAAGACTATAGGAATAATTGTAATTGCTATATATTTTATAAAATGGATTATTGTAATTTACTCAGCTGTCTTTTGTTTAAGTAATCATTATCCTAAATATTTCATGTGCTTTAAAAATTTATTATCCTAAATATTTTGTTATATATGAAGTGTTTCAATTTTGCCAATCAGTAGTCTAGTAAATAAAAATATTGTACAAAAGGTTTTATTAGTTTTAGGATAAATTCCTTATACTGTTTTAGGATTAATTCCTTGAGTTAAATTGTAAAAGTTGAATTAATGAGTCAAAAGATATGAGCATTTTTAAGAGTAACTGGTTTTCTACAAGAATTATATCAATTTACACCTCATAAGCAGTGTTAAAAAATGCAGTTTTCCAATTAAGGTGTTTCAGACTAGTCTTATCTGCCTGTTAAACTTGTCAGTAAAGGTCTTCTGCAGGTCCCTGTGAGGAGGAGGTAGTCAATAAAAATTCATTGAAATACACTGAATAGCAAAAAAGAATTGTATTCTGTTTTCTATTGTGTTCAGAATTCATTCTGGGAATTTCAGAATTTATGCCCTAAATGAAACTTAATATCACTTTTTTTCTAATTCACTAGGTGTCTCGAGAATTACAAATGCTATAGAAAAATTAAAGAGAAAATTGGCAGTGACCTCATCCATATGGAGACAGTTCTCGGGATGTCCATGTCCCCATTGCCAGTGTCTTACAAAGAAGCTTTAGAATGCTTGGAACAGAGCAAGGTAAAAGTGTTTGCAAATCTCCAGTAAGATTGTGCAAAAAAAAAAAAAAGGCAGGAAGCAGGTGGAGGCAGCAGCGAACGGTGCTCTGTTATGGCCCACAGAACTCTTCAGTCTGAATCGTACATTCAAGAAAAGTGCTGAGACCAAAAGCCAAGGGGAAAAGTGAAGCAGTGGTTCTGAGAGATTTGGTCAGTCAAGTTCACAGGGCCGTTGTCTCCCCAGCAGCAAGCTGTCCCATTGATCACTCTTTCTAAAGCTTTACCTTTCATATTATTTTGTTGGATGTTGCTGGCAGAGAATTTAATGCAACTAAAATGACAGAGAATTTAATGCAACTATCATAAGTGGTAAATTCTGATTACTTCTTATACTCTATTACCAAGTAATAGTAATAAATTTTAGTTTTTGCTTATTTTTATCTGTTCGATTCTATGGTACTATGTTATTAGAATTTGGAAGAGAACATTCTAAATCATCCGTGCTTAACATCCACCCCAAACAAACAACCTAAATAATATGTTGGTGGTTGATTCAGTAAGTATTGTGCAAATTAACTACCTAGCAAAATATGAGACTTAACAAAATTGATTTCTAGGATATTCACCTTTGAAAACACATTCTTACTTGAAAAAATTGGTTTATAGGTTATTATTTGTCCCCATAGTTTTATATTTATGTACAATACAATAATACATAGATCATTCTTATCTGTCTCAAATTGGCTTCCCAAAGGACTAAAAAATGGGTCATATAATACTTGTGGATGATTTAAAATCATTAATTGTTCAAGATTTACAATAGTTTATAATTTTCAGAAAAATTAATAGACATTATAGCCCTCCTGTTCCTTTTCTTTCTTTTTTTCTCTCTTTCTTTCGTTTTAAGGCCTTAGTGTCAAATCTTGTATCAACCAAAGAAGAATTAATGAAACTACGACAGTCCCTCAGATATCTGAGACCCAGGTGCACAGATAATAATGGCATATGTTTGCTCAGAACCATGTCAGCTCTGTGGGAGAAATGGCTGAGTTTGCTGGAAGCTGCTAAAGAATGGAAGATGTGGTGTGAAGAACTGAAGCAGGAGTGGAAATTTGTCAGTGAAGAAGTAAGTGCTTCATTTTCAACAGTCACACCTCACAGTTTTCCTAACATATGTCATTTAAGTCATTTTATTACTTTTCATTTTGTTTTTATGTAAAACAAGGCCTCAACCTCTGTCATTGGTTTACATCACATATGTGTAACACGCAAATGTTTATAGAGGTCTGGTCCTAGTAAAATAATCTCCAAGAAATGATTCAAATTCTTTCATAATAGTGGAATTTTTGGTATCAGATAATTCTTAAAAATAAGTGATTACTTTGTCTTTCAAGCTTTAAAATCTATATTGTGTAGATAAAGTAAAGCGCTCTTAAAAATAACTGTCTCTGCCTGGTACTAAAGGTTAGAATTAGTTTGTTATGTTCCTAACATAATTCCAATTCCTTTGAAATTAACTATAATTATTAGCTATAGAAATTAACTACAATTGTTAAGTGTGGACCTAAACATATGTCTGAAGTTCTTTGTGAAGACTGTCTCAAAGAATTAATCACATAGCATATATCCATCACACAGGTTAATTTAACCATGGTTCACATATATTTAGAAAGAAAATTTAAAACAGTGTAAAATTATATTGAGGTATTCTTTAATCTTTCCAAAGGATTAGGTAAAATGAAGTACAAATCAGAATATTAGGTGAAACTTTTGTCTTTTATTCTTC